TATTTCATTCGGTATTTTGAGCAGTGGAATAAACTTTTTTCAATTTTAATAGCTGAAAGCTTGAAAAATTAAAGCAAGTTTCGCTCCATCGCTCACGAAAAGGGGGGAAGAAATGAATATTTAAAATTTTATTTTTGTCACGGAGTGTGCAAAGTGCAAAAAACATCCGCCGTAATTAAATGCAACGTCGAAAACAATTGCGTCGCGATTAATTATCGCTTCGATCGGACCTCCGCGCTCATTAAAAATTACTTGGTCTAACCGCGATAAGAAATGGCGGTAAGGCGAATTAAATAAAATCACGACGACGAGAGGTAGTGGATCCTTTCTGTTCTCGGCGCGAAGCGATAACGGGGCCACGATAAGACACAAACGCGACGAAACGATCGATCGCAATTAATTGCGAACGACAGGGAACGGCCGATTCGTCTCACCTTCCGCGAAATGAAATCCGATGCTAGACGAAGACGCACCATCGCTTTCCGTCACTGGCAGGAAAATGACGGGGAAACACTATGTTTCCATCAAGCGCCGTTCGCCGAACGTGGTCGTGACGCAACATAGCAGCAAAATAATCCAACCCTCTCCCTTCCGCCCCCTCACCCCAAAAACAGAAAAAAAAACAGAAAGAAAAAAGAGTAAAGAGATTACAAGCGATATTCAAACGAGAAACATCGACATATTCAAATTCGGCGCACTTGACATCGGCGAATTTTAAATACACGATACACAAAGCGCGGCCGATCGCGTGGCTACTTTTGCGTTTCGCGCGTCCGCACGGGAGATCCTCCGTGCCAATGGGACCGCCGGTAGTGGTGGTGGTGGTAGTGGTGGTTCACCCTCTTCCCGTTTTCCGGAGCGGCCGCGTCGGCCGTTTGTCAACACGAGCAGCGGAGGTGTTTACAGTCGATCGCGCGGTCATCGAGAACAGCAAAACGGAAAACCGGTTCGCACACGCGAAATACGACTTTGTTCGAGTGGAGATTAGAAAAACGATGCCGTCGTCATCATCATCGTCGTTGCTTCAAGCGAACAGTCCCCGTCGATCGCATTCCGCGGCCGAGTGCAGCGGACGCGCGAATTCCGCTTCTCTATTCCGCTCCGCGACGATTACACGGCGATAAGCATGGGCCGCGAACGTCGATGGGAGTCAGGGATGGGGGGGAGGGGGAGGGGAGAAAAAAGGCGGAGTAGGAGTAGACGAAAGAAAAGAGGTGGCGGTCGCACTCGCTCTTTATCGCGTTCGCCAAATGCAACGGAATTTTCTCTCTCTTTCTCTCTCACCTCGGAATCGTGCTCGTGCACAC